TGAGCTGCAGCTGTGCACGGCTGCTTGCTCAGGTGTGTGAGGCAGGCCCCCGGGATCCTGTGATCTGATTGGTCCTCTAGTGAAGGCTTTTTTAGTATAAAAGGCCAGTTTCTGAGAACAGTCTGGGGGAGTGTGTGAGTGGGAGTGGAGACTGTGCTGCTTTGATTTGAATTTACTCTGTGTGAAACGTGAACCTGTGTAGTTGAACACAACACTGATGTACTCGCAGGAATTGAAGAAAATCTCACAAGATCTTTAACAACTCTGAGTCCTGTTTTGTTGATGTTTTTATAGCCATTTGCTGCCACTTAGTGGAACTTTATTTGATTACTTGACACAGTTGCAAAAATGGAAAAAATCTCACAAGTTGGATCTTTAAAATGATCAGTATCCATGTGGTCAGAACTAAGAACTTCAACGGTTAGTTCATGTAAACTAAGGAAGACCAATCAGTTACGAACCAGTCGTCTACGCCGTTGACTACATGCAACGATTTTTGGCTGTAACTCTGTTCTGGCGTTAATGCTAACGTTAGTTTGGATGTTTGTCTGTCAGTCAGCAGCGTGATCCACACTCAAAAACAAGAGAATCCACAAGAGAATCCACATGTTTTGACGGTGCAGCCAGTTGACAGCTAGATGCTACAGTCACTGAACCTTCAACTGCATCGTCGGTCGGAACGGGAAAGGGTTGAAAAGAGAGAACGACTCATGAATTGAAAGGAGGGCAGAGAAAGGGCTGCGGAGCTCTGTGAGGGTCCCTGGGTAATAACAGGAGGATAACTGCAGGCCTCCGCTTTTTAACACAACCACCAGGGGATACTCTGGGAGACGGACCGTTTCATATGTCATGAAAATGAACCAGAGCCGGCTCTGAGGAAGCCTGCGAGGGTAAAAACACAAAATCATCCAGGTGAAAAGTCCAAATTAGAGTTTGGGTACTTCACTAAAGTTTTGATACTACTACACAAACCACAGCAGCGTGTTTGTGGTAGTAAGGCTTGAGTAAAACGATTAAATTGTCCGATCTGAATAATCGCAGAGGAGCTGTGGATTAATCGCAATTACACGGCTCCTCCACTTGTGTCAGTGTTGCATTGCTAGGATGCGAAGTAACTCGGTTTTTGTCGTATGTTGGAACTCGAATACTGTACACAAAAACCTATCACTTACCTATGCTAACAAAGTAGTAACATCATAATGTAGGAGAGGAGTGTCAAACATATGGCCCGGGGACCAAAAGTGGCTCGCTTGGGGGTTCAATCTGGCCCGCTTGATGAATTTCAAAAGTAAAAAAAAAAAAGCCCAAACATTTCACACTGGTGATGTTTTGTCTATTTATATTTCATTAAATATGAGTGATTTAGGTAACTGGCTGAAGGAGGGTAAATGCAAATGCATGCTGGGAGTCGAGATGGTATTTTAAGCTCGAGGCGCTTCAGTGAAACAGCAGTACTTCCAAATAATGTATCAACTGTGTATTAGAGCTGTAAATGAACAGATGGTGGCGCTATTGCATATACAGTGCACAGCCAAACAAAACTTTCTTTTTATGGAGCTTTCACTCTCAGAGGTCAGTGAAGATGGGGGGGGGGTTGTTACTCCCCCCACCGCTGTCCTAAATGTAATACATTACATTCATTAAAGGTGATTTCATCTCAGATCTGTTCCAGTGGAGGCTCACGGCGTCACATTTCTGCAGCCGCCACGCTCTGAATGTTTAACAAACAGAAGTGAGCGAGGACCGTGAGGATTTAAAAAAATGTTATTGATCTTTGAATAATACGTGTTTGTGTGGAGAGTAATGACTGCGGTGTACAGTACAGTACTCTCCCTGTACTGTGTCTTTCTGCAGTAGTACATGTTTGGAGTTTTTTCCACTTTCTGGTTGGAGAGATATTTAACATGAACTAAAACAAATTGAAAGCTTATTTTACCCTGAGGGCAATTAGTTATTTATAATTAAATTTCTTAAAAGAGCGCCCCCTGTTTTAGTGCAGCATTTCATGTGAAAACACGAATCATCAATATGATTTTTCTTTGTTCAATTTTACTGTAAATACAATGAAATACTTCACTGTTTCCTCAATTTTAATT